TTCTTTTTCCCTCTAAATCTCAGAGTCTAGGATCATGCTTATCGGGCTGCGTGGTGACTATGACTTTACTCAGACACCTAGAGCACCAGCCTGTGAGGTCATCGAGGGCAGGGGTAAAGCTTTCTTTCCTGTGCCCCCAACCTAACCCAGGATCGGGCATATAAGACTTGCGATCGTGTCTGTCGAACAAGCGTCTCCGTCATTGGATGATTTTCATTGGTAATCCCATTTAGAGGTCAAACACTAATTTTGTTTTAATTAAACCAAGAGGGATGAAAGAGAAACTTCAGAGTGAAGTAAATTCACTGAGTGGTCTCCTCTATATAGCTGGAGGAAAAGGTGACTAGCCTTTGAGGTTACTGCTATACCTGAATAAGGTGATATTAGATTACCTTAAAAAGGTTTAACAGAACCTTTGAACCTCAAATACAATATATCTCTGGGGGGAAAAATACCTTTCTACTTGTACACTACAAAGACAGTGTTGTTTTTCTAGTACAAATGCACTTCTGAAAGTGCTTTACTAAACTATTGCTAAGACACGATGAGTGACCTCAGAAATGGGTGTGGGGGTGTGATGAGTGGGAGAGACCCCTATTAATACACACAGCACCCACACACCTGCTTTGTGAGTGGATTTATCATTCCTCCAAAAAGCTGACTAGGACTGGGAGTAGAGATAAGGAAAAACTATAAGAGTTTGGTTTTTAAAAAAAAAAATCTGTGGCTTTCTGTTACCTAGTGTGTTGTGTGGCCTAATGACATTTAAGCAATCTGAAATGTACCAGTTCAATCAAAGATTGCCAAAAAGATCAATCAGTTCTCACTAGAAAGCACAGCTAAATGTAACAGGATGTACAAAAAGAAAACCATGTTTTCAACGGACATTAAATAGCAACAAAAGCCCTGAAACAGAAAAGAAATCTGAATCAACTATAAAACTTTACAAAGGTCCAGAAATATAATCACTCAACAGCACATGACTGCAAACTCTAGGAGCAATAAAGTCTTTTTTTCCCTCCAAAATACATTATTGAAAGGGGTCATGTGATTCTTAGCAGGCAGAAAGAAGCACTTTCCCAAGGAAAGTTCATCATTAAATACATTATTTAAGACTGGATCATCTTCAGGCTATTTTTATGCTATCATTTTGCTGCCAAAATTGGCCATAAGCATTGGATACTCAGCCACTAGAAAAATGATGCTTTTTCACGTGTTTTGCACACTGGCACTAGAATGGTATTGCTTTAATCAAATGTTTTGTTGGAGGTGGACTACATAAAGAAAAGAGAAACTGCCTGCTGACCAACTAATAAAAAGGAAGCTAACCTCTACTGGATGTGGAGAAGTAAGTTCCTGTCTTCCGAAACCACAAAGACCCAAAGACACACACACGAAAAAGTCGTACCACCATCTCATCAACAGAATGAAGCCAATCTCTTGTTTAAGCCATCTCATTCTTTTAGTAGTCCACATCTCACTCTCTTCTAAGACACGAAGCTGAATGTTCTCACATTTCTCACTTTGGAGAGTGCTGTTAATTTTCACTCACCATCAACTTGCCCGTAACTCAACCCTTTGCTTGTAAGAACCCCTTCACCTTGAAGCAGTCTCAGGACCAGTAAACTCGTTCACAGAATTTAAACTGTGTTACAAAGGGATGCAATAACAACTAAGGGAGCTATTAAAGGAGCTAAATCTCCTGCTTTTAATTCAAGTAGAAAAACTATCTTACTTTAATGTGGTCAGTGATGCCAATACAAATTGTATAGCTACCATGAAAAACATTCTTGAGAGGACTGAACTTATAATAATTAATCTCCTCTCTCTCACTCATTCCAACCTATTTCTTCCCAGGGTCAGATCACTCTGGTGGACATCTGGGAAACAGTCAATATTCTAGGTAAACTATGAACCTGTGAGGCCACTGGAAAGGGACACTGTAGGATCCATCTCAGATTGTCTTTCTTCCTAAAAGATGTCCCCAGGAATCAACGGTAGATGATGGCAGCCAGCATCTCTAAGCTTAACGTGCCTGTGAACACCTGTAGGTTGTGTGAACCACAGATTCTGACTCAGTAGCTCTGGGGTGGGACCTGAAATTCTGCATCTCTAAGAAGCTGCCAGGTGATGCCCATGCTGCTGATCTGTAAACCACACCCAGAGCAGCAGGGTCATAGACACTTCTTAGAACTGCTGCTGTCTCGCTGTTCCCTCTGTCCTGCCTCTCTCTGGATGCCACACAATGCCTTATTCAGACTTAGGAATATAACCACACTCTACTCTACACGTAATTTCTTCTTTAGTCTTTATTTAATTTGTAGGTTTCTGGGACCATCTCTCAGACGCCTCTCATTCCAAGGCCCTGCTTTCTCCGTGTTATGGAACGTGGAACACAAAGAGTTTTCCTCAGCCTCAGAAGGTTCTGATTTTGCATCAGCAGCAGCAAAGAAAAAAAAGTGACTTCAAGTCTAAAGCCCCCATTAGTACATATTCAGCAGATGAGCTGATGCACTAAGTCCTGGAAACAGTGCAAGTCACTGTCAAATGTCAAAAGAATGTGCCAGCTCTCTTCTGAAACTTTACCATCGTTATTAAGAGTACTTTACACCATAAGAAGCAACATATTATTAGAGATGCAGCCCTGACTGATGCAAATTTGGAGGAAAATCTGTCTGTATGCTAAATGCCTAAAATAAAAATTTAGATTAATAACACACATTTGAAATGATAATCACTCATAACTCTCAAATTCTACCACTTTTATTCCAAAGTGTCCATTTATGATTGCATTTCCCAACATATACTTTTTTTTGGCCAAATTCCTTTGCTTTCCCATACAATCATCCTTCTATCTGTTGTTCTGAAAACTACACATTTTACCATCAGCCATTTGTGCTTCTATATGATTTATTTTTACTATAAGAAGTTTTGTCAAAAAAATGTTATCATGTTCTACAGTATGTCATTGTGGTTTGGCATCATAAAACGTAGCCTCTACATTTATCAACCTCAGATACCTGTTGACCACAAAGATAGGCTCTATTATGAAAACTCTATTTTGAAAGGAGGAAAAAGTGAGCCTTCACTTAAAAAGAACACTCAACTATATGAGATGTTAATATACCACAACTCAACAACAAAGATCAAGGTTATATCTTAATTTCTATCATAAACATACACCTCTGTTTCCCATCTTTTTATTAAATTACTTGATAGACGACAGTTACCACCTTGGCTTTCTTTCAGCTAAAGAGAAAATTTTAAAATGCTTTTTTCATAAAATATGAAATAGTAAAACTGTTAAATCAGTTTTACTTTGGTTTTAAAATGATCCTTTTGGAGTCTGGAAGTCCCTACCTTTTTGGTTATGGTAGTTAAAAATAAAACCACCTACTTAACCAAACATGGAACAAAAATATTCTTTTCAACCTTTAGTGAATTCTTCCAGAATCACTAAAGATCTGATAATACGGATCTCAAAAAACAAAGAATTTACAAAGAGTCTCTAAATTTTAGAGATTTAAATGGGGGATATTTTGGTTAATTTTACTTTCAAGCATTGAACAGTGGCATCAATATTTCGTCAACTTTGGTCAAATAGGATCAAATGTTCATGTCAGTCAGCTACTTTTCTTGGCCTTTTCTCTCTTTAGCCCCTTAATATCAGCATATTTTGTAAACTGTAGTAACGTGCTTCTTGAAATTGAATCCACTTGTAGTCATTTTTAGGCTTTTCCCTTCTGTTAGGTCCTATAAAACAACAACATCAGTAATTCTCCCTAGAGACTATAAAAAAAAACACTGAAGTGCATCCTTTTTCAAAGATAATTCTTCAGATTAAAAAAAGTCTAAAAGAATTTCAGACAAGAATTATTCCTCTTTTACTTTTTCATAAATTAATAATTATAGATACAAAGTGTAGATATCAATTACAATTCTTCAGTCTTAGGATCTGCACCCCTCCCTCAAAGAATCACACACAAAAAAGAACTTTATGGTAACGCAATGGAAGCTCTATCTAGCACAGTACCAGAAAAAAAATCATCTCACAGCTGTTCTTCAAAACTCCAGGCATCAATCACTTCACCTACAGTCAGAGCATGAGAGAATCCACAGCTAAGAATCAATTCTTCTACCCTTTATATAGATACTGTAGATGCAAGATTTTTCAGCAGAGGAGACCACCAAATGATGTGGATTCTAGATGGTGAAAAGTAAAAGATACTAAAATTCCAGTAAACTTTAAAATCATACACCAGTTATAGAACACAAAGTACACAGCCAATGCAAATTCTGTCACTGATGAGATCAAGTAAACATCCATAGCCAAATTCTTCAAGACACTTGGTCACTGCCACTGGGAATGTGGCACACACTGTAGGTTGGAGTCCTTGGACTTTGGGAAAGTCAACTCACCCCTTTACAAACACACCTAAGTTTTCCAGGGAAAGGGACTACACTGGTTTTCCTCTTTGGGTAGATTTTACCAAGTGAGTCAGAAAACTCATGCCCTTGGTCCTCTGGTGAAGTCTGTTCTAATTGGGTGGTTCTCCAATTTTAGTACAAAGAAGAAACTCCCAGGGGGGCTTGTTTAAGATGCCGATTGCCAGGACCCAACCTGGGTCTGGTTCATGAGTAGTGCCTGAAATCTCCCATATTAACAAGGTACTCAGGCCAGGTAACTGTGATGCTGGGGATCCTTGGACCCCCAGTTCGAGAAACTCTGAAGGGATTCCATTTATCCCGAGATCCTACTGAATAGCAAATGCGGAATCTTTGGACCTCAACGGCTGACAAGCAAGTAAAACACTTTTGGCGGAAAGAAATGGTCACAGGGTTGGCAGGGAGAGTTCTGTACAGGGGAAGCAACAAACCTGATTTTATTTCACTGGCTCATCAGCCTGCCCTTGGCCCAGGGGCCCATCCACACTCCAACCACCGCATCTCAGACCTGAGAGGTCCAGCCCAGACTCACATTCAACCAGACGTGCACCTACCCAGCCTCCGTTATCCTGGATCCACGTGTGCAGGTGTCGGTTCAGGTACTCAGTCATCCACAGGGCGATGCTGTCCACCAGGGGCGACATCTCCCGGTTGACGCTTTCCACACACATGACCCCACCGAACTCAAAGAAGGCCACAATCCTCCCCCAGTTCACCCCATCCCTGAAGAGCTCCTCCACTACCGTGGCAAAGCGTCCCCTCGCGGTGAAGGGTGTCAGGTGCAGCTGGCTGGACATCTCGGCGAAGTCGCGGCGGTAGCGACGGGAGAAGTCATCGCCGGCCTGGCGCAGGGTCAGGTGGACCACAGGTGGCACGGGGCTGAGCGCAGGTCCCGCAGCGGCGGCAGGGGCGGCCGGGGGCGGCGGCGGCGAGGTCCTGGCGGGCGCGGGGGTGCGCCCGGGCTGGGAGGAGAAGATACCCGGCGCGGGGGCGGCCCCCACCTCTCCGGCATCCCACTCGTAGCCCCTCTGCGACAGCTTATAGTGGATGTACTTCATCACTATCTCCCGGTTATCATACCCTGTTCTCCCAGCGTGCGCCATCCTTGCCCCGAGGAAAAGCAGCTGGGTACCAACAGCACCTCTCGCCCCCGCTCCCGCCCCACGGCCCCGAAAGAAAGAATAGTTATAATCCAGCTATTTTATTGGATGTGCTTTGCATTCTTGGATGGGGGGGTGTCTTCAGTCACGCGGAACACTTGATTCTGGTGTTTCCCTCTTGGCATGAGATGCAGGAAATTTTCATTTAAATTCCTTTCGGATCTTTATTTCATGAGGCACATTATTATTAATTATTGTTAATATCAATCTACTTCCTCCGTGATGCTGAAAGGTTAAGAAAAAAACTAATAAGTCAAAATCAGGTGCATTTTCCCTCACACACTGGATGAAAGCAGCGCATACACATTCCAAGTTACACAGATAAAAAGAATGTAGTAAACTGCTTGGAAATTAAACTTACTCGAATGCACTTAAAGTTAAAATCTCAAATGTTTCTATTGAAAGTTACATTAAACCAATTTCCTGTGCAAAGAACTTACTTGTATTTTTTAAGGACAGCATGATCCTCTGTCAAGTTTCCTTTTTTGTGAAAATAAAAATGCATAAGGCAAAGATTCCAAAAATCCTCCGAACTCTCCGGTTATAGCTGCTTTGAAACTTCCAAATGAATCAGGAGTTGAGGAGGGGGTGGGGGAAGCGGTAAAAATTAGGAGAATTTCCAAATTGATTCCCAGACTTCTTCAAAGAAATGTCAATCCGCAGGAATCCCAACTGGAGATCTCAAGAGCACGAGGAAAAAAAAGGCAGCGGCGGCAGCAGATGAATTACAATTTTCAGTCCAGTATTTGCAGAAGTCCTGTGATTTTCCCCTTCTCGGCAATTTACAAGCGCGCACACACGCGCGGGCACAGACATGGATCTCTATCCGTGGGACCGCTTCACGCCTCCCCGGGAGAGAGACAGGGACTGGGGGCCGGCGGCCGAGCCGGGCACGGGGGCAGGAATCCTCTTCCGATTAAACTCCGAACGGCAAATGCATTTTCCGAAAAGCTGCTTGATAAATGAAGGCAGGACGCGCCCGGCCCGCCGGTGCCGAGCGCGAGAAGCCCGCGCTGTGTGTGGTGCGGCGAGTGGTGGGGAGAAGGAGGTGGTGGGGGAGGGTTTTATTTTTTCCCTCTTTTCCTATAAAGGATGCCTGCTACGAAGTTCTCCCCCCTGGACCCCCTCTTCCGCTGCACCCCACCGGCGCACCCCGCCTCCGGGCTGCGCACCCTTTCTCCTCCTCCTGCTCCTGCGCGGCGGCGCTGGCGGCGGCCGCCTCCCCCGCGCTCCCGCCGCGC